AAGGCAGGAGTTTGTACAGATGAGCTATGGTGACTGTGCATCAACCTGAAATGGTGGAGATTGGAAGTGCGGTGTAGGTCCAGGATCTGGAGGAGAAGTCCGTGGAGGTAGAAAACAGCAGACAGAGAGTGTGGTAACGGAGAGTGGAAGATAGTACTGGTAGGAGCTAGGAGAACTAAGGGTGAGAGACAAACGGTTCAATACAAAAACATACACGATTGAACAGGCCTGAAAAAAAGATTAAATTGGCAAGGGAGTGATAGGTGAGCGGGGTATAAGTAAGGATAGAACTAATGAGGTGCAGCTGGTGACAATCAGGGGATGTGGAGCAGGTGTGCCAGGTGATGTAATCGGAGCCGAAAAAGAGGAACAGAGTGAGAGAGGCAGGTGCAGCCGGGCAAACCTGACAGACAGATATTGCTATCCTTTTGCAAATTTAAGCTATTTTATTTTTACTTCCCTCTTTGGCAGTGTACCTTCCACTGTTTCAATGATCAGTTTTTAAGTTGTTTTTTGTTTTTTCAATTTAAGGTTCTGAATTAAGGTTTTCTTTTCATCTTTCATGATTATTGAACATTTTTTCATCTTCCATAATTACTCAGCATTTTCTTTCCATCAGCACTGCATTTCAGTCTTCATCTATTTCAGCAGTAGATTTCTGCCATTTCAGCATCGCTAGGGCAATTCTTCAGCAATTAGCATTCACACGCATTTTCTTCAGGAAATGCCTATGTCTGGTATTGAAATTGGCAGTGCAAAGAATAGAAAATTAACTTTAACATTCCTAATGTTTGGTGTTTCCTGTCGTTGTGGACCTCACAGCCCAGGAGGAGCTGAAGCTTCTGGATCTAAAGCTGTTGGACATGGGTCCAAAATGTCACACAAAATCACATTAGTAAATTTTTTAGATACTAATGATATTGTGATTCTAACCTTTAGATAAAGATGGTTGATTCAAATTGTGTGGTTAGTCAGTAGTTAATATAACAATGTTGAGCTGAAGCTGAACTTTTTTAGACGACAGGATTTGTGTTTTGTGTGAGGTATAAATCATACACAGTAAATGATTCACATCATAAAAGTGCTGAATGCAACAACACTGTTTCATCTTCAGTGTTTAATCTTTTGTTGTTAACACCACTACAATAACTCTAGACTACATCAACATAAAGCAGAGAAGTTCACGGTGTGTGACTCCCTCTAGTGGACGTTGTGGATTGTTGTGTTGTGTTTGCTCCAGAGGTTTTTGTACAGAGTCCTGGTGTTTCCTGTCACTGTGGGCTGCAGAGCACAGTAGTACACAGCAGAGTCAGACACGTTGGCTGAGACGATCTCCAGATTTATTTGGGTTTTGTCCTCACTCACTGTAGCAGACAGGTCAGATGTGGTTTCATTTTGTGTTCCCAGGTGAGAGATTAGGACCTTTGGTGGTTTTCCTGGATGTTGACGATACCAGAAGAAGTAATC